AAGGTCTTGAGCAGGCGAGGCATGGTGGCACATACCTCTAATCTCAACACTCTGGGAGGCTGGTGCAAAAGGCTTGCCGATTTAAACCCACTTTGGACAATTTAACGATTTAACAAAACTGTATCTCAAAATTTAAAATAATAAAAAGGCTGATAATATAGCTCATCACAAAAGCTGTAGGCTCAGTCCACAGTAACACACACACACACACACACACACACACACGAGTACTGAAATGTTTCAGTGAAACTGAAGTTGACTCTAGTTATACATTTCGCTTATTAGGCATGCAATAATTGTATGAATCTTAGGAAAGACTGCTGCTTTGGTCAGAAATTTTTTTTAAACATTTATTTATTTATTTATTTTGTGTGTCTGTGTGTGGCCAGCTCAGCCCACCAGGGGGCGGGCCTGGCTGGCATGTGGTGCTGGGGGATCGAACCACAGTCCCTGTGTTTTGCCAAGCTTGTTTCAAGTAGGTGCTTTAGACCACTGAGCCATCTCACCAGCCCCTTTGGTCAGAAATTTGCAGAGATTTATCTGGGTGTGGTGGCACACCCCTGTGATTTCAGCCCTTAGAAGAGTGAGGCAGGAGGATCACTGCAAGGTCAAGGCCCGCCTGGGCTCCAGGTTGGGCTACCCTTAATAAATTGTTTAAATTTTACACCTAATTATTTACTTTTTTTTTTTTTTTTTTTTTTTATTTCTGGGATTGGAGTTGCCATTAAAAAGACACTGCCTAAAAAAAAAAAATTAAAAAAAAAATTGCAGGAGTTTTAAAAACTAGAATACACTTCTATCATGTGGAATAATGGCTCCATCCAAAGATGTCCATGCCAGGGCGAGCCAGATAGCTCAGCAGACTAAAGTGCCTACTTAGGCACGCACAGGACCTGGTTCCACCCTGCTGTGCCGGCCCCGCCCCCGAGCGCACTGAGAGCAAATGAGACTGGGCATGGGGGCATGCTCCTGTAATCCCAGCGCTTGGGAGGCTGAAAACAGGATCACTAGGAGCCCAATCTGTGTAGTGAGACCCTATAGGCCCTGCACTAAATACATTAAAAAATTAAAATTAAAAAAAAATTGTCCATTGTCTTTTTTTTTTTTTTTTTTTTTTTTTTTTTTTTTTTCAGGACTGGGGATTGAACTCAGGCCCCTGCACTTGCCAGGGAAGTGCTTATTCCACCAAGCCATCTCCCTGGCCCCTGTTGTCTGTTCTTGAAACCTATGAATGTATATCCTTAGATGGCAACTAGGGAATAAGGCCATGTAAGATGAAACAACTCCACTACAGCTAATAATAAATAAAGCTACTAGCCAGCTGATTTTAAGGTAATAAAATTAGCTTCGATTATCCAGGGAGGCCCAATGTAGTCATAAAGTCCTTAAAACTGAAAGATGGAGGTAGAAGTGGGAGAGAACCTGAAGAAGAGAGGGGAGGGCTCAGGCCAGGGATCCTGAGGAAAGCCAGGGAAACCCTTCTTCAGTCCAGAGAGACCTAATTCTAAACTACAAAAGTATGGAATAGTAAATTGTGTGTGGTAAAGTGTGTGGTAAGTTCTTATAGCAGCTATAGAAAATCAATATAATACTAAATATGTATTGAAAGCTTATGAGAAGCTGTGAGTAGAACAGATTGTGGCTCTGTCTCTCTCTGTCTCTGTCTCTGTCTCTCTCTCTCTCTCTCTCTCTCTCTCTCGCTCTCGCTCTCGCTCTCTTTCAGTGAAGGGTCTACAGGGTGTTCAGGGTCTCACTACTAGATCGTACTTGTAGTGATCCTCCTATTTACAGCCTCCCAAGAGCTGGGATTACAGGCTCTCGACACCACACCCAGTCTCCATTGCTGTCTCAGCGTGCCCCGGGGGTGGGGCCGGCACTTATTCTCTTCCACCTGGTTTACTGACTAATCAAGATAAGTGGGATGGTAACAATCCCTATTACCAGATTTTAAAATGAGTCAGATATTGTGCTTTAAAACTAAAATGTTTGGATAAAAAATATTATTTAAACTGCTAGCAATATTTTCTGAATACAAATTCTTTTTTTTTTTAAATACAAATTCTGACTCTGAATATTTTTAAAAATGTACACCTGATTATTTACTGTTTTGGGGGGCTAGTCATTTTTACTAATGAGTTGCCATTAAATTTTTCTGTGATCATGTGATACTTAGGCCTGGGCAGGTTTGAACCAATTCAGCAACACTGATTGCCCACAAACTGCTCTCCAAGCTCTCACAGCGTCCCGCCCCTCCCCACACCCTGGGAATCAAATCCAGGACGCTGTGCATGCTGGGCAAGCCCTCTGCCACTGAACAACACCCCAGCACCACTAGAAGTATTTCTATGAAATCTCAGTCACTGCATCGCAGGGAGTTCACCTGATCAACTAGGACTACCTTATCTTCTTTTGGTTTCTGTTAGACATAGTTTTGAAATCAATTTCGGAATTACATATTTTTTTTTTCTATGCAGCTTCCATGCCTCTTTGAGTGCTGAATATAAGAAGATAGTTGAAACAATAGAGACAGTTAAGTACTCTTCCTACTTCCGACTTCTGGTAAAGTGTGATGGTGACAGCTTCCTCTCTATGCTCAGAAAGGCTGGAAATTCTTCCAAACCTGAGCACAATTCACAACTGATTGTCAAGCATCTGATGCGGGCTGTTCTGGGAGAAAAACAGTGGGCCACCAAAATTCCCAAGAGTTATGTTCTTAGAGCACCCTCAAATTGCGAAAACCCGAGAATATCAGATTTGGTCAGAAAAGTGCCTATAAATGCCTATTTTATAGCTTCAAAGCTAAATATGTCTCCCGCAGTTATGTAATTTAATTTAATGAAATACATTGTATAAAGCCTTAAAAGGTGCAGAGCATTTTGACGACATCTTAGGGCTCTTGGGTCTTAGAGAAGACAAAACCAAAAACACCTGAGATAATTACATGCAATGTAGCAATCTGTTAAATTGCAGGAATGCTGGCCTATCGGCCAGAGATGGGTTACAAGGAAGCAGCCAATCAGTGGCAAGGAAAACTGAATCCGGCCCTCGGATTGGCTACTTGCAAGCCTCCACCCCCCAAAAAAAAATTGCGGGGGATATTTGCAGTTTTCACGAAATTGTATTTCTGCGTTAACTATTAGATTCTAAGAAAATTATCTGCGAACTACTGAGGCTGTGACCTCTGAACCACAACTTTGTGGGGCTATACTGTACTTCCAAACAATTTAGCCAGAAACACGCGATTTCTGGCTTCCTGTGTAGAAGGAACTTCTTGTGTATGCGACGCGGCAACAGCTGTGCTCGCGGGTGCAAGTGGTGCGGACCGCTGGAGGCAGGCCTTCCTGTCCCTCCCCTGCCACTTAAATTGGTCTCATAAAAGATGGTGCTGATTCCTTTACCTCAGACACTAACTTTGCGGGTAGAATTCAGCAGCGGGGTGCCCGCCAAATGTGAATCTGCTCTCGTTTTTCTTGTCCATAGGCGAGGAAGATGAGCTGTCACACTTAACCGAGTTCCATTCTGCTTTTGATGAAGCAGATGAGTTAGGCTGGATTCCTCTGCATAAAGCCGCAGTTCAATTAAATAAGAACATTTTAGAAATAACCATGAAAGGTAACCTTTTTTACTCTTCTTGCTGCTTCCAGAAGCAAGTTTTTAAATTTCTGTATTTTAACACGTCCTGTTAATTTTTTTCAGCTTCAAAACCCAGTACATGGGAGCAAACTACCCACAATGGGGAAACACCACTCTTTTTGGCTGTCAGCAATTGCCTCTTAGAAAATGTCAGCTTTCTTCTTCTCAATGGCTGCAATCCGAATACTAAGAATTACGAAGGCAGTTCTCCTCTCCTCACAGGTAAACGAACACCTTGTCTCATCTCTTCAGCGTCTGCGCCCCTGAGCCTCCTCCTGCCCACAGGCCTCAAAGGCAGCATTTTGTACCCAGCTGCAGCACTGGTACTTTGGTCCCACAAGAGCAGGCCTGGGAACCTGACCCTCATGAAGCTTTGTATAGATGGGGGGGGGGGGGGAGGCGCTAATGTACTCGGCCAAATAAAAGCAGCTCATTTTGCCCTGGGCCTTAACAGGAGGAAAAGCCTCTAAGAGCAGAAGGCAGCCTATGAAGCATTGGTGAAGGGCAGGCAGCCGGGGTGGAAAGATTGGTGGGAAGCTACTTAGAAGCAGGCTGTCCCTTCTTTAGATCACTTTTCCCACTGGGTGTGCTGGGACAGACTCCTCCCCAGTCCCAGTAGAAGGCTGGAGGTTTATTCTCTGCAGTGTTTAAACAGAGATCTCTGAACCGGAGTGGCTGCGCTAGATTGAAGTCCTTGGAGGAATTAATCAAAGACAGACTGAAAGCACCCGGTTCTCTTCCCACAGACGGGGGTCCTCCCACAAGGACCCCAAAAAGCAGGCAGCCAGGCCTTTACTCTAGAAAGATGCTTCTCTGGAGAATATGACCAGCCCAAGAAGAGAGAGCTAAAGATAACGGCATCTGGGGGGCCTCCCCAAAAACAACTTATTATCAAGCCCATAGTCCCACCTGTTACTTAGGATCTCCCAACAGCTTTGCAGCCCTACCCTTCTCCAGCTACCAGCTCCTTCTCCAGACAGCTAAGGATTTCCTGAGGAAAGTCTTTGACAGAAATAAGAGAAAACAGATTTTTTTTAGGGGAAATAAAATATGAAGGGAGGGCCCAGAGAGATAGTTCAGTAGAATAACCACTTGCCTAGCAAATGCACGGTCCTGAGTACCACAATCCCCAGTACCACACAAATAAATAAATATAAAATATGAAGGGAAATTATTAATTTCTCCAGAGAAATTAATCCCACCCAGAACACAGGGACACCAAGGCAGGAGGATGACAGGTACAAGCCCAGCCTGAGTAATTTGATGGTTTAGCAAGACCATTATTTCAAGGTTAAGAAAAATAAATACAATCCCTGGTTCCACCAAAAAAAAAAAAACAAAACTAGGTTCTGAGGCTGGGGAGATAGCTTAGTGGAATAAGCGCAAGGGCCTGAGCTCAACCTCTGGTTCCGCAAAAAAAAAAAGAAAAATAAATAAATGAGGAACAAGATACTACAAAAAATATCAAAGAGTAAAACAAAAATGCTTGTAAAAATTAAAAATATCAAAGAAAAAACTCAAAACAAGACGGTTAAAAGTGGGGCGGGGGCTATAGCTCAGTGGCATAAGCACCTGCCTGGTAAGTACAAGGTCCCAAGTTTCATCCTTGTTACAAAAAAATAAAAGAAAAAAGAAAAGAAAATTGGAAAGCTTCCAGAAGAAACAGAGAGAAGAAACAAACAAAAGAGAAGTAAATTAGGATAATCCAAGAGAAGAAATATGAATTACAGATATTATAGATAAGATGGAAACTATATCACCAATGAAATAAGTTAAAATACTAGTTTCTAAATTGAGGGACACGTGTTTCCAGAATAAAAGCGCACACAAAAGGGCAAGCTTGGTGGCGCACGCTTGTAATCCCAGCACTCCAGAGGCAGAAGCAGGAGGATCGCTGCAAGTTCCCGGCCGGTGTGGGCTAAGCAACAAGACCTTTGCAAAGAGGGGGCTGGGGGCCAGCAAGCGCAACATACAGACCCAACACCGTCGACACTTTATTTTCAACCTTAGAGCAATTAAAGCACTTTCATGGCACATTATAAACAGTTATGAGAATTCACAACTGATGCCGCACAAGCCGTCTAACCAGATTCCACACACATTTGCTGTCAATGATGGGTAGGTCGTGAAGCTGATCATTCAGACAGTTCTGTAGAAAATGCCCTCCCCAGCCAGTACGTTCCAGTTGCCCAGGTAATAGTTCTGGCTACGGTTCCTGTTACTACCGTCTCCTAGAAATGGCTGGTCATTGCGAGGCACAGCTGGTCACTAAGATGCATATTGTAAGAACCAATCAAAGACAGCCAACCCCATTAAGCACACCTGTACCCCCTCTTTGCAACCTACCCCATAAAAACCTCCCTGTCTAGGCCTTCCAGGGCCCACATTTTGAAGGATAAATGATTCCTTGTTAGTGCCCCTTGACGTTAACTAAATCTGCCTCCCAAGCCCGGATGTCGCTTCTGCCTGCCACTGCAGTGAAGCTTCTTGGGGGACTAAAGAGCACCGTGCGAATGTGCAGTGATGCAGCACGGGCGCAGGAAAAGGTAGGAGAGGATTCGGGCTCATGAGCTGTACTTAAAATATTTTCCAAAACAATTTTAGAGGCAGAATAATGCAAGGAGAGACAAAACTGCTAACGAAGATCATCTCAAAGAAATGGGGCTATGCATGGCTTTTTTCTTTTCTGCACATAGTCTAAATTCACAGAACACAAACTTTTCATTGTAGTGAAAAAGCATGTCTAGCCAGGTGTAGCGGCCCATGTTTATGATCCCAGCACGCAGGAGATAACAGGATCAAGCTGAGCCCGAGCAATTCAGTTTGGCAAGACCCTCTTTCCAAATTAAGAGGCTGGGGATTGGGATTTGGCTCAGCTGTAGAATGCTTGCCCAGCAAGCTCGAAGCCCTGGGTTTGGTCCTCGGCACACACACACACACACAAAAATAAATAAATAAACCTCCCCTAAAAAAAAATTCAACTAAAAAAATACAGTAAAATCAAAATTAAAAACAAGGGCTGAGAGTGCAGGTCAGGGGTAGAGTGCCCTTAGGTTCAATCCCTAGTACCAAAAATGAAAAAAAAGTGGGGGAGGGGAAATCTGGAGAGATAACCCAGAAGCCTAAGCACCTGCCTGGCAAGCACAAGGTCCTGAGCTTGATTCCTGGCACAAAAACAGAAAAATAGCTTTTTTTTTTCTTTCTTTTTTTTTTTTTTTC